CGTTTTATAAGGTTGACTTTTTTAAACGTGGACGTTTTTAAATAAATCGGCTCGTGCGAAAACCGCTAATGTCCATTTTTTATATTTTGAGATTCTTGGGTTAAAATACTCTCGGAGGTCACACACACTCATTAATGTGGTGAAAATGTTCGTTCTTTAGGTTTGAACTCCTTTTTAAGGGGGGGGGGGGGGGCGTGGTCCAAATCATTCGAAAACCGCTAATGTCCATTTTTCGTTTTATGCCTAATAATACTGTACAACAAACCAAAATGAAAAAATGTTTCCTGGACGACATCAGGTGACCTTTATGCATTTTGAGGTGCTGAATCTGATTATGACCTCCGTTTTTTTTCCATCGCCCTCCAATTTTTCGAGAAAGCCGATTTTACTCGGAAAAATTGTCATTTTTGGTGTTTTTCCAAATGTTACTCCCTGCAGAATGTACGTAGAATTTTTCCCAGCTACGAGATACGATTTCACCGATGTCCTCCTAACTGCTGAGTCCGAAAATTACCTTAACTTTTCCCGTTCAACTCTCAGTTTTCCGACAAAGCGACTTTTTCCTGGGAAAATGAGCAAATTTGACGCATATTTTTCAGGCATGCAATTTATTTGTATATATTCCTGGACACGTGGTAGTGTGCTACTTATGTGTTCTAAGCTGTAGAATCTGAATATGACCTCGGTTTTTTTTCTATCGCCTGCCAGTTTTCCGGCAAAGCCGATTTTTCCGAGCCTAAAATTGTGTATCGTAAAAGCTTTCTTGGACTCAAAGTGTATTAAAAATACATATCAAAAATGTCTCCTATGTGTGGTACACAGATTTCTTTGTATTTTGAAGAATTGAAATATGATCTCAGATTTTTCCGATCACCCATCCTTTTCCCGGAAAAGCCGCTTTTACCAAAAAAACGCTCTTTTCAGGTATTTTTGCGATAATTTTCCTGTTCTAAGGCATTTCAGAAATTTTCCGAGATCCTTTTTATGTGTCTCTTGCTGTATTAAGAGGCACTGAACTTTATTTAGACCTTCACTCATCTTCGACAACCTCCCGTTTTCCAGAAGGTCCGATTTTTTCGGGCCAAAAGCTTTCCGGACCGTATTCCCACTGCCAGGGAAATTCAAAATATTTTCCACATGTGGAATACATCGATTCTCATGTAATTTGAGCTAAAAACCCTTATTATGACCTCTGATATTCGTTATCGCCCACTTATCTTACGGAAAAGCCCTTAAACCCGGAAAGTTTTTACGATACACAATTTTAGGTCAAGAAAAATCGGCTTAAAAATTCGGATTTAGCGCCTCAAAATACGTTAGAGTAACCTTTCCTCTCCCAGGAGGCATACTTGAACGTATGCGTTTTCGAAGTTTAAAACCGTCCAATCATGCGAAAACCGCTAATTAATCCAGGCGCCTGGTAAGTCTACCTGGAATTTTGGGTATTTAGCGATTTTTTTGGCTCACTTTATGTTTTTGGGTCGCTGAATCCGAACCTGAAGTTTCCTACCGCGTATCTGGTGAGCTTTTTCCGCCATTTTGAAAAAATGGCCTAAAAAGGCCTTTTTGCGTTTTTTTTTTTATATTGCGGCTACGCATGAGAAAAAGTCCCGGATTTAGTTAATGTTTTGAATAGCTGACATAATTTGGAAGAAAATAGTGTATACATACAGGGTGTTCGAAAAGTCCCCTCCCCCCCCCTCTAACTTTTGACCTAATTGAGGTAGAGATTTGAAACTTGGAGGGTGTTCCTAGATCAAAGGGAGCTACTTTTTGACC